CAAAGACCCATTATCAATGTTTTCTCCTTCCAATTTGTCTACAACTTTCATTAGTGGAGTATCTAATACTTGTTCTCTATAGAAGTTTATTTCAACTGGTGTGATTTTTAGTTTCATAATCTGGGCTTGGATTTCAGTTATGTCTTCATCATAATCATTGTCTAGATTGTCATCTAAACAATCATCTAATTCTTCTAAGTCCTCTGTATCAATATAAAAGCATTTAAGCATATCCTTTCTTTCTGCTAATTGGGGAACTGTATTGCCATTTTGTTTTTCTTCATTTAATCTTTCCTTAAGTAAATTACGAAAATCAATTACTTCATCAGTTTCACCAATTCTTGATATCCAGTCTGCTCTATTAGTTCTTCCTGGTATGTATATTATTTCAAAATCCATATCCATAAGTGCCATCACCCATTTAACAGTACTTGTATTCAGTTTGTTTTGTACAAATGTTTGTACCAAATTTTGGTGATCAGTGTAGAGAAAAAATTTCTTATACTGTAGATAGTGGGAGAATTTTTGTACTGCCCAATATACTGCAAAAGCCTCTTTTTGATAAGCTGCATATCTTAGTTGTGTATTGATTAGGAGCTTGGAAGCAAAAGAAATTGGTTTTCTTATTTTCTTTCCATCTTCTTCCCATTCTTGTTCTAGAACTGCACCAACTGCATAATTAGAAGCATCTGTTGTTAAATAGAATGATTTAGTAAAGTCTGGCAGTTGAAGGATTGGGGGCTCTGTCATTGCATTCCTTGGTGTTTCATAAGCTTCCTCTGCTTTTTTTGTCCATTTCAGTTTTTCTGTCTTTTGGTGTACTTTTAATAATTCTCTCAAAGGTTTTGTGATTTTTGCAAAATCTTTAACAAATCTTCTATAATAACCACAAAATGCCACAAAACTCAACAGAGTATTTGCAAACATAGGTAATTTGGCATCTTTTATTTTCTGAATCTTTTCAGGATCAGTTTCAATACCATTCTGTGTAATTCTATGACCAAGGAATTGAACTGATTCTTGTAAGAATGCACATTTGCTCAGTTTAATTCTGAAGTCTTTTTCCTTGATTCTTTCCATAAGTTTCTGTAGAGCTACAAAGTGTTCTTCCAATGTTTTGGTAAAAACTATAACATCATCCATATAATTAATGCAGAAGTTTTCCAATCCATTAATAACAAAATTTGCCATGATATAGCTGAAGTGTGAAGGTGCATTAGCCAAACCAAATGGCATGCGGTTGAATTCAAATAAACCAAATGGTGTAATAAAAGCAGTTTTCTCCTTATCTTCTTCTTTAATTGGAATATGATGAAATGCACTTGTTAAATCCAATATAGAGAAATATTTGTGGCCTCCTCCAAGCTTATCAAATAAATCTTCCTGATGTGGGATTGGATAACAATTCTTTTTTGATTGCTTGTTAAGTTTTCTGTAATCCACACACATTCTTAATGTTCCTTCTTTCTTTTTCACAAAAACAATGGGTGAAGCCCATTGGCTTTTGCTTGCTCTAATTAGACCATTTTCCAATAATCCATTTAATTGATCCCTGCATTCCTGCTGTTTGTTGGGTGGCAATCTGTCTGGTCTTTGTCACAGAATTATGGATGTGTAAAAGAATCATTGGAGAAAGCAAAAACTGATGATAACATTATGATGGATTGCTCCTGTCCTGTACCATGTGACCAAATTATTTATGAACCTAATCTATCATTTTCAGCAATATCAGAATTTGCTGCTGATAAAATGTTATATGCAAATTTAAAGAGAATGAAAAAGTTGACAAATGATTATCATGAGATATTAGAAGTTAAAGAAAGGAAAATTAATAAAAACTTCAATCTAAATAGACAATTTATTTCTCCTTTTACAACAAAAACTATTTTACTTTTACAAAATATTAAAAATATTTTCAAATTATTTTCAACTTTTGATAAAAATATTTCAAATTTTGAAAATTATATTCAAACGCTTAATAATGATGTTAATACTGTTGAATATAACTTTTCTAGAATGAAAAATGCCCTAAATTCATCAAATATCGCTCAAATTGTAAAAATAATTAATGAGCTCTCCCCATACAGTTTTATGGAAAAATTATTTGGACCAAGTGAAAGGAAGAAGAATGTTATCCTTCAAAATCTTAACACTTGTCTAAAAAACTTATGTGAAATGGATAAAATGGAAACAGGTTGCATTAAATTTATGGAACATTTTCACCTGAGTGTCTACAAGAAAGCTGATCAAAATTTCCATCAATTTTGGATTGTTGTAACAGAAATGGCAAATATGCTATATGGAGATTTCAATGGAATAAGAAGTTTACAGATATTCCATCTAAAGGAAATAGAGAGATTATTTGAAATAGATATTAATAATAATAATAGTTCAGCAGCATTAAAATTCAATGAAACTTGTAATCAATTCTATATTAACTTGAAAGATATGACAAAATTAATAGCTGACAATATTGTAAATAAAAATGACAGTTATGTTGTTATTGGTACCAAAATTCAAACTTTTATCAAAACCCTTTTCAATATTGAAGATAATTTTAATAATATCAATTTTCAATCCCTTTGCCTATTTAGTAAAAGAGATTTGGTATTTAATGATATTTTATTAAAAATCAATCAAATGAAATCATTGATTTCAATCAATTATTCAGTATTTAGAGAATTTCACAACAGGATTAAACCAATTAGAATAATTTATGAAAATGTTCTAAATAGAACTCAAACATTCCAATCATATTTAGAAGAGAATTCATCAACTAAAAAGCTTAATTTATCAAATACTTTTTTTTTGGATGATTTACTTCACAATATAAGAAGTTTAATGAGTTTCTGTGATGAGTTGAAGTCTGACTATACAATATTCTGGAATAGTAAATATCAAATATACACAGCTGTAGTTGACATTGAACTTTTAGTTGAAAAAGATATTATATGGCCTTTGCCAAAAAAAGATAGGAATGATGAAAATATTTCATATAAACAAATGAAAGATTTACAATCTTTATATTCTCAGAAAAAAAATGAATATAATGTTAATCATAATTGCTCAACAGAAAATTTACACATATTTTTTGAACATGTTTGGAGTGATTGTTACTACTATTTCTCTCATCAGATGCTAAATTACACATTTAAATTTCCTAATATCTCTCAAAAAGTATTTTATGAAATTTTATATGATTACAATAATCTTCAAGCTTTTATGTATGAATTTTCCAAAATTTCTAGGATAGATAAAGAATTTTTCCTGTAAGATTTCTCTCTCTCTCTTTGTTACATTTTGTTTTTAATTCAAATTTTCAAATAAATATCAACAGAAAGAATTTTGCAAAAGTTAATGTTTTCTACAATGAAATGAGTTATCAAAAGATCACTCAACATGAAAAATTTGGTTTTCTATCCCTCCTATCCGAAGTTGGTGGTTTTATGGGACTTCTCTTGGGAGCTTCTGTCATCACACTTATTGAATTTCTAGAATTTTTTGCTTGGAAGGTACAGAGAAGAAAATTATTGAATTGTTCAAAAACTATGAAAGTTTTTAACTGTGATTTTTTAATTTGTATTTCAGTTATTCAAATCAATTTCAAATAGAAGGAAGCCATACTCAGAAGATGCTTATTCTACACAAGACACTGCATAACTTAGTCCTACCCATAAATATTTATATATATATATATATGGAGAAAATTGAAGCTTGGAAAATATTTCACAAAACAGATATACACCTAGAAGTAGTGACATATTGATATTTAGAAACTAGATATAAAGGAAATTTAGAAAGTACAAGTTTAAAACTATGCATTGCATTTAGTTTTCACTTTACTGTTGGTAAATGCTTCTTTAAGATGGCTATCAAACCAGAAAGTCAATGGCAGCATAGACCTGATGTTGTATTTTATGTAAAATTAGGTATGAAAAGTAAAATATCAGTGCAGAACTTATTGTACTCAATCAATCAATCATCAACATAAAAAAATTAGCAGAACACACTTTAAAAATCAAAATATTCTCTTCTAGAGTAACGTTTTATATTTTTGTGTTGATATACTTAGTTAACATGCCAAAACAAGTTTTCTATTCTAAACCAATTCAGCCTAAGACTTTATCATAACTTTTTAATTCCTTCCAACTTGTAGTATAGATACATCTGACTTACAAACAATTAATTAGCTTTTTAAAACTCACAAGCTCAACTGATAATCATTGACAACATTCATATTGAGATGAGAAAAATGTAAATAAATGGCAAAGCTATTGCTCACAAAATTCTTCAAGACAATCTGTATCCTTGATTGATCCTTGAAACAAATGAAAGAAAGAGAATATCTAAGAAACTGATACAAATTTGAGTGAATGCCATTTGAAGTTCTATACAGATAGGTTAGTTTTGAAATATTCCAATTTTTTAACATTCAGATTCACAATGTCAAGGACAACTTTCTTTTCCAATTAACACTGCTTGTTACTCAATTTATTATGATATGAGAAACTGTAAAAGACAAAACACAACAATTAGCAATTTTAAAATTTCTAGGAGAAATCATGATGCAAGAGTCACGCGCTATGGTTTATTTACAGCTCTCCACCTGCAAAAGCTTTTAAATTGAGCAGTTGAGGTACAGAGTTGTTTTTTGGAGAATGTTTATTTCACTTCTTACAGTGTATATCAGTGTGAATCTTTTTCAATGGTTAATGGTAGGAGAGCCTCGTGAAATCTATTATTTTATACTGAACATACATATCCTGTTTTCTAATGAATTAATATGTTGCTATGCTTATGTCAATATTCTTGATGCATTTTTTAACATGTCTAGTAATTTTCTCATTTCTATGAAAACCAGACTATATGAAATATTTGTACTAAGGTCAAAACACCACTCTTTTTGCAGATGACAGTAACATACGTGTAGTCATGGTGATATTAATATTGTCTAATGATGACAACAAATATGATGTTATATATATGAATTTTGTTATTGCCTTGTATTTAAGGTAATCATGTAATTTGTAATTAAATATCATTTCTAATAGGCCTAATCAGTTTATAGAAGTTACGCTATATTTACATTTTGTCAATAAAAAACAAATAAATAAACACACCTGTTCATTGATCATATTAAATGCATGAATAAGTTAAAATTGAATAGGTCAACGCTCTAATAGGCTACACTGTATCACTTCATTTTATAGGCAAAATTTCAAAGTAGGAAACAATGCATAATTTTAGGTCACGTGACTTTAGACTAGAGCTTTAATGATTTCAGGCAGATCCCTTCATTGTCAATTTTTAAAGATAACTAATTTCACAAACCTTTAATACTTCTAATTCATCGTATAGATTAACATAGACTGCTTGACAAGTATTCAACTGACAATTGCAATTATAATGACAAACTGTACTATTCTGATTTATTAATCGACAACTCTGAAAATTTCCATTGAAATCACCATTCACTTGATTTTCTAATGGCATATATACAAAAATTCCTTTATTTCCAATTCCTTCATTCTCATTTCGACATAATAAATTTTCACCAGTGATGTTCACTTGGAAAGTTCCACTTTCTCTATTGGCAGTTTCTTTCTCTTCTATGCCACGCGAAACTGACTGTGTGTTGGCTATTCCTCCCAAAAAACACGTCAATCTATTATCTACTAAACGTATATATAAATATACATTAGTTTCTGATGATATTGGTTCGCATTTGGACTTGAGGTAACAACGATTAGTCGCATCTAATGCAACTGCTACACAGCTATTACGACTTGAACATAATTGTGTGCAATCAGTTGGCTGTTTGTCAGAATATACATTAATATCGTTGCTGTAGCAATTTTTGTTCATTTGAAATCTATAGCCAGGTTTTTCCAAACGACTAAGGAAACATCCGTATCCAGGTTCGTAGCATAAATTTCCAGCAGTACATGATGATAAATCTTCAGAAGCATCTTGAAAACAGTTTGAAAACAATAAAAGTTTTTAATGAATGACTAGAGAAAACCTTACCACCGACTTGTACACGATCATTTCTTGTTATGTTGCAGATATTGTCAAATAAGCACAAAGAATTTTGCGTTAAAATAGCAAAAATGATTATTTTTATCATTTCTATTCTTTGCATTTTTGCAGATGAATGATACTTTGCAGATAGACTGACTTTTACATCAAGAGGAAATAATAAATTATCTAGTATTTTTCTAACTACTTTAAACTGCAATTTAAGCTTGTCATACTTAATTATATTTTACTATTAGTAATTTAGCAGACACTCAAACTCTTAACATTTCTAACTATTAAAAAATTATAGTTTTATGCTATAGAGAAAATTGGATTGTTATATATGTATTTAAAGTTGTTTAGGATGAATAAATATCATATTGATGTGTGCTTGGACAATATTATTCAAGTTGAACATAAATTCATAATCTGAATGTTTAAAATATGATAAATTTATAAATAAAACAAAATGTCAATCAGTTGGTGATTGGCAGATCTTGACCCTTATAAAATTCTTTGTTAACAGAATGATATCCATTTTATAATTTTATACCAATAGAATATGTATTGGGTAAATGAGTTCCAAGTGCAGTCTATGTTTAGAGAGAAGAGAGTCATGAACTTTGGAAGTGTATTCCCTTTCATACACTCACCAAAGCTTGCATTCATTTGGTCAAAGGTTTTCAAAGATAAGAGTTAACTATTTCATATTTCATATGTAACAAAACATTCTTTTGAACAAGAAAGACTATTACATACATTATGTAACAAACCCTAACCCTTTGTGTAAACTATAACATGTTTAATGCGTATGTTTTCAATGCGGTATGTTTCTCTGCCAATTCTATTGTGGCTCCATCTATTTTTCTTACAGATTCTCTTAGATATAGAATAAAAGTCTTTCTAAATTTCCTTTATATCTAGTTTCTAAATATCAATATGTCACTACTTCTAGGTGTATATCTGTTTTGTGAAATATTTTCCAAGCTTCAATTTTCTCCATATATATATATATATAAATATTTATGGGTAGGACTAAGTTATGCAGTGTCTTGTGTAGAATAAGCATCTTCTGAGTATGGCTTCCTTCTATTTGAAATTGATTTGAATAACTGAAATACAAATTAAAAAATCACAGTTAAAAACTTTCATAGTTTTTGAACAATTCAATAATTTTCTTCTCTGTACCTTCCAAGCAAAAAATTCTAGAAATTCAATAAGTGTGATGACAGAAGCTCCCAAGAGAAGTCCCATAAAACCACCAACTTCGGATAGGAGGGATAGAAAACCAAATTTTTCATGTTGAGTGATCTTTTGATAACTCATTTCATTGTAGAAAACATTAACTTTTGCAAAATTCTTTCTGTTGATATTTATTTGAAAATTTGAATTAAAAACAAAATGTAACAAAGAGAGAGAGAGAAATCTTACAGGAAAAATTCTTTATCTATCCTAGAAATTTTGGAAAATTCATACATAAAAGCTTGAAGATTATTGTAATCATATAAAATTTCATAAAATACTTTTTGAGAGATATTAGGAAATTTAAATGTGTAATTTAGCATCTGATGAGAGAAATAGTAGTAACAATCACTCCAAACATGTTCAAAAAATATGTGTAAATTTTCTGTTGAGCAATTATGATTAACATTATATTCATTTTTTTTCTGAGAATATAAAGATTGTAAATCTTTCATTTGTTTATATGAAATATTTTCATCATTCCTATCTTTTTTTGGCAAAGGCCATATAATATCTTTTTCAACTAAAAGTTCAATGTCAACTACAGCTGTGTATATTTGATATTTACTATTCCAGAATATTGTATAGTCAGACTTCAACTCATCACAGAAACTCATTAAACTTCTTATATTGTGAAGTAAATCATCCAAAAAAAAAGTATTTGATAAATTAAGCTTTTTAGTTGATGAATTCTCTTCTAAATATGATTGGAATGTTTGAGTTCTATTTAGAACATTTTCATAAATTATTCTAATTGGTTTAATCCTGTTGTGAAATTCTCTAAATACTGAATAATTGATTGAAATCAATGATTTCATTTGATTGATTTTTAATAAAATATCATTAAATACCAAATCTCTTTTACTAAATAGGCAAAGGGATTGAAAATTGATATTATTAAAATTATCTTCAATATTGAAAAGGGTTTTGATAAAAGTTTGAATTTTGGTACCAATAACAACATAACTGTCATTTTTATTTACAATATTGTCAGCTATTAATTTTGTCATATCTTTCAAGTTAATATAGAATTGATTACAAGTTTCATTGAATTTTAATGCTGCTGAACTATTATTATTATTAATATCTATTTCAAATAATCTCTCTATTTCCTTTAGATGGAATATCTGTAAACTTCTTATTCCATTGAAATCTCCATATAGCATATTTGCCATTTCTGTTACAACAATCCAAAATTGATGGAAATTTTGATCAGCTTTCTTGTAGACACTCAGGTGAAAATGTTCCATAAATTTAATGCAACCTGTTTCCATTTTATCCATTTCACATAAGTTTTTTAGACAAGTGTTAAGATTTTGAAGGATAACATTCTTCTTCCTTTCACTTGGTCCAAATAATTTTTCCATAAAACTGTATGGGGAGAGCTCATTAATTATTTTTACAATTTGAGCGATATTTGATGAATTTAGGGCATTTTTCATTCTAGAAAAGTTATATTCAACAGTATTAACATCATTATTAAGCGTTTGAATATAATTTTCAAAATTTGAAATATTTTTATCAAAAGTTGAAAATAATTTGAAAATATTTTTAATATTTTGTAAAAGTAAAATAGTTTTTGTTGTAAAAGGAGAAATAAATTGTCTATTTAGATTGAAGTTTTTATTAATTTTCCTTTCTTTAACTTCTAATATCTCATGATAATCATTTGTCAACTTTTTCATTCTCTTTAAATTTGCATATAACATTTTATCAGCAGCAAATTCTGATATTGCTGAAAATGATAGATTAGGTTCATAAATAATTTGGTCACATGGTACAGGACAGGAGCAATCCATCATAATGTTATCATCAGTTTTTGCTTTCTCCAATGATTCTTTTACACATCCATAATTCTGTGACAAAGACCATACAGATTGCCACCCAACAAACAGCAGGAATGCAGGGATCAATTAAATGGATTATTGGAAAATGGTCTAATTAGAGCAAGCAAAAGCCAATGGGCTTCACCCATTGTTTTTGTGAAAAAGAAAGAAGGAACATTAAGAATGTGTGTGGATTACAGAAAACTTAACAAGCAATCAAAAAAGAATTGTTATCCAATCCCACATCAGGAAGATTTATTTGATAAGCTTGGAGGAGGCCACAAATATTTCTCTATATTGGATTTAACAAGTGCATTTCATCATATTCCAATTAAAGAAGAAGATAAGGAGAAAACTGCTTTTATTACACCATTTGGTTTATTTGAATTCAACCGCATGCCATTTGGTTTGGCTAATGCACCTTCACACTTCAGCTATATCATGGCAAATTTTGTTATTAATGGATTGGAAAACTTCTGCATTAATTATATGGATGATATTATAGTTTTTACCAAAACATTGGAAGAACACTTTGTAGCTCTACAGAAACTTATGGAAAGAATCAAGGAAAAAGACTTCAGAATTAAACTGAGCAAATGTGCATTCTTACAAGAATCAGTTCAATTCCTTGGTCATAGAATTACACAGAATGGTATTGAAACTGATCCTGAAAAGATTCAGAAAATAAAAGATGCCAAATTACCTATGTTTGCAAATACTCTGTTGAGTTTTGTGGCATTTTGTGGTTATTATAGAAGATTTGTTAAAGATTTTGCAAAAATCACAAAGAGTATGGGAAAAAACGTCCTTGGGAAAAAACGTCCCTGGGAAAAAACGTCCCAGGGTGGGAAAAAACGTCCCAGTGTGGGAAAAAACGTCCCAAGGTTAGGAAAAAATGTCCCAAGGTTGGGAAAAACAAGTAGTGGGAAAAGATATTTGAATTTTAAAAAAGATTGCTCTATTTTGGGAACCAATGGCAATATACTGAGAATATAATAATTAATAATGAATATATGTTTATTAAAATGTATTAAAAATGAAAAAAGCTAAGAATGTTATACAAAGTTTAAAAGTTACTAGAATAAAGTATAAAGTATGTTAAGACACTGAGAATTATTTTGAATAGATTAATGCAATCTTCTGCAAGAGGACAGCAGATGTAATCATTCCCAATTTGTATTCATCCCAAACAGCAAATACTTGCTTCTGCTTCTGGATGACACTTTTCTTCTGATACTTCTTTAGCCTTTTTTCTGATAGAAGTTTCTCTACAACTGGAATAAGACTTGATTCCTGTTTTAAAATATCTATGAGCATATAAAATGACCCTTTTGCAGGAGTCTTTTCATTTATTCTTCTGTGCCATCCTTCAACATCATTGTTGGTCCTGATGGCAAGACCAAATACAGACCAACAATTTGGTGTCCAAATTGAATGCTTAATCCAAGTACTTTCAATGTATTGGAAAAAATCCAAAAATTCATTTCTCTCAAAGGCCTCATCTTTTAGCATGTAGAAACTGTTTAGAATGGCTTCATCTGGAAGAAAAGGTAATGCCAAAACTTGTTTCAGCAGTCCTGCCTTCTTCTTTTCCATATTATATTGTTGTGTGTATCCCAAATTCTACAATAATTTAATAATAAGGCCAAGCACTGAATTTAAATATAAGCTTACTTGAATTTTTCTGTAGACAGCTTGTGTCCAATGGAAGACACAACCTTGAATAGGAATATTAGGGTAAACTGAGTTAAGAGCACTCCATATACCTAATTCAAAATCAACTACAAATTTGTCAGGTTGAAAACCATTTGTCAATTTTTGAATCTCCTTTTGATAAGATGAAGTTAATGAAACAGAATTAAGCAACCAAATCATACTTACTTTAAGAATCATTTTGTACACTTTTTTTTTCTTTGATGTTAAAAAAGCAAATGCTAATGGAATTTGTTTTGCTTCTCCATCATTTTTAATAAAAGAATGAACAGAAAAAAGCTGTACAAATGGATCCTTCACAGCCTTGAAAGTGCCATCTAAATACCATACTTTACTTTTACATA